ATACAAAAATTCAGCATAAATTTGTGGTAAAACATATCAGAATCATGTGACAACCCTTAAAGTTAATTAGCATCTTCCATGTGCCATGTACCTTCAGTAAAGTTGGCTATGGTATCATAAAACATCTCGAAATATAAGTAACATCAGCACAAATCAAAATTTTAGTTAATTCCAACAGTAATTATGAATAATTATCAATGTTATTAATTATGTAAGTTGACATGCATGAGGAAAGACTGTGTTTGAGTATGAACTGAATTTATGGATGAAAGCTCAGCATGTAACCCAAAAGTCAATAAAGCTTTTGAGACTCCATGTACAGACACATATGGGCACACATGCTCACATAGAAACATGTACAGATTAATAGATTCAAGCATCAATGCAAGTCTGCTTTGAAACATATGCTTGCATGTTTATTAAATAACCGTAATAGAATATGCTGGAGATGTTCAATGACAGGGGAAATAATAAGAATCTTATATAGGTTCAACAAATAGAAGAAAACATTTGCACACATTTCTTTTGAAAAGGATGTGCACCTGTTTGGACAGTGGTGCTTTCATCAGAGTGCAGTTGCATGCACAATACCAAAAAAGACCATTGAGATGAATGCTCATAGAAATGTTGCATATAGATGCTCAGAACTTCTCTTACCTTTTGATTTATATGCAAAGCAAAAATCTACATTCAAACTTATATGAATTGTCAATAGATTCAAAAACATGGGCATCTTTTATTATCTGTATATATAGATGCTTATTCAGGTCTTGCATGTTTATGGAGATGTGTGCGTATATATAATATATATATATATATATATATATATATATATATATATATATATATAAAATCAATCAATATAAGCTTCCATGCATGTGTATATGGCATAAAGTTTTATAAAGTGTAGCTATATAAATGCATATATTTTAATATATGTATATAAAAACAGCAAGGTATACATTCACACATAAATATATACCTCTTTGTATAGAAGCAAATAAGTTAGTGTAAGCTTGTGTGCTTATATATATATATATATATATATATATATATATATATATCTTTTTTTCTTATTCCTGTGAATGTTATTTTTTGTTGGTACACATATTTCAGCTGGTATCCCTGTTTTATTTTATTAAACAGTGTAAATTAATAACAACTGGGTTAGATTAGGATGTCCTACTAAACAAAGATTGTACCTCCTACAAAAAATCAAAATTGTATCCCAACTATAAATAACATTTATAATAATAAGAAATAATGTTGTATATAAAAAATACATTCTGATGCACACACACACACACACACACACACACACACACACACACATACATATATATATATCCAAGTTTGTTCTACAATCTACATTCAACATCATCACGTGATAAGACACCAGAGGTGTTGAAACAAAATGGCTATTTTTGTAGTGATTTTATGACATATTTATGTTATATAATTATTTATTTAAAAATTAATATATATATATATATATATATATATATATATATATATATTTATATATTGATATGTTGATCATTGTTTGCTTTAATTCCATATATATAATGTGTGTTTGTGTGTATCAATATCTCTATTACCTAATGATGACAAAATCAAATAAATATTTTTTCAACATAATCACCTACCTTGTCAGTGCACTTTATTCAGTAGTGAATATTGATCATATTGATAGAACATTATATAGTGGAAATTTCAGATCAAATTTTACCTCAAATGAATGTCAGGCAACACTCTACTTTATGCTCTCTTGAATTTGAATTAATTTGTGTCTGCCTGCATTTTTATATAAATAATCATATTATACCATCAGGGTTCACTGTGTTTGCTCTCTCCACCATATATATATATATATATATATATATATATATATATATATATATATATATATATATATGTGTTGTATGTATGTGTGTTTATTTGTGTGAGGACTCTACCATTGTTTTCAACATATGATAGCCTAATAGAATTATAATAGAATTTAGAATTAAACCACTAACTAGACTACCCCAACTGAGTAATTGTGTAGAAAATCCAATACATTCCGGCTGAATTTACAATTGAGAGATGGTGCACAGTGTGTTACAGTCTCCAAACAAGCCTCTTCAGGCTTGAATTCAGATTTTTTCTTCTCTCAGATTGGTTTGTTAATTAAGGCTAGAAGGAAACCAAGTCTGCCACATTCCACCATATATATATATATATATATATATATATATATATATATATATGCTTTTGTTATAATAAATACATTGAGCTCTCTGTGGATCAGTTTTAATATTTGATATTACTAGGATCCACCTAGATTATATACCAATGGATCTATTACCTGTACTATATATATATATATATATATATATATATATATAATGGGGTAAAATCAACTCATATCCAAGTATGACCATTTTCATGACACTATTTTTGAATTCCTTGCTGACTATAATATGTCTGGTAACTCATTTTTTTCCCGTACATAACCTGCACTTTAAGTCACCATTGCTGCAAGCAAGCCTACCACATGTTACATTTGTATTGAGGTGATGTGATTTGTAATGCTGTTATATGTTTACTTATTGACCTGCACACTCTGTTGCATAGATTGTAAGTGAAATAAGGCTGGGTATCATATTGTTAGTTTGTGTTGTCATTGTGATGATATGTGTGCCTAATCAAACCAGGATTTGAAAGGAATATGTATCCGTATTCTTCACAGATGAGAAATTCTTTAGTACTTTTTACTATATTTAGGGGAGAGCTAATTTTGCACAAGGCAAATCTCTGCAGTGAAAAGCTGCACAAATGCTACAAAGACAGGACAATCTTAAAATGGTGACCATAGACATCAGTGTTTGGGAAGGTCGTGCATCTGAAAGGTCTACATGAATAGACTGATGATGGCTAGTGTTTCATGACTTTGAAAACCAAGCATAATGTATTCCAAGCAACCTCTCTTGCTGGAGCAAACTGTAGAACGATGTTGAGCTATGGCCTGTAAGAGTAAAGTTGAAAACATGGACAATTTTATTTTGAAACAGTGTAATTTGAAAACAGTAATTTTTTTTTTTTTTTTTGAACATGAACTATCAAGATAGATAGTTGTGTCCCTTTAATTGTTTTTATCCGTAAAAGGCAAGATGGTGGAATCCAAAAACAATCGCATAATGAAAACTTGGGAATCCAAAATTTCTGGGTAGCAGGTCGGAATCCATTTCAGAATGTTTTTAATTTGCTCACAGAATCAACCTGATTCCAAAATGTTATCATATTTTGGGCTACGACCTTGAGGAGTAAAGTTGAAAAAGTGTGACACACTGACATTCACATTTATTATATAGATTATATAAATAATGAGTTTTACAGAGGCCTATGTGTCCATGAATGCCTCATTTTTATTCAGTTGATTGGTGTTGGCTGGATCCCCATGTGTCTCTAAATGAATCCCTGGAATAATTCATTTGGTTTTGTGAGAATTAGCATCTAATTAGTCAAAGTCATCCTATTGATTATATGTATCCATTTACTTGTAAATATATTCACAGGTGAAGAGATATCAATGTCTTAATATATATCTTACATTTACTGTTTACTTATTTATAATTGTTTTAAAGATAGTATATGGGATATAAAAGCACCAGTGATAAAAACAAAATTGAAGAGAAACTGAATGAAGTCAGGTTATCACTATATTTTGACAAATTGAAAATTTAAAGTTTAGTGTCCCTATATCTTCAGTATTAATGTATTTATAACCAGTTTTTTTTTTTATTTTGATTATCAACCTCTCTTCCAAAATTTTCACTTTACTGATTGATGTTATATTTGCTACCTCAACTCCAGAGTTTTGTAGACATACTTTTCCATAATTGTTCAGTCCACTCATCAGGAGTTTTTAGCAACTGACTGCTGTTTTTTTTCGATATCTTTAATGATCCCACCAATAAGAACATTATTTTAGTCTGTTGAATTCTGGAAACAATTCTTTGTAATGCATTTTATCCTCCAAAAGGAAGGCCAAAATGCATTACATAGATTTTTTTTCAATTTTGTCATTAAATTACTAAAGATTTTCGATGTTAACAGAAAAGAAAGGGTATGAAGAACATTGGCTAAAGACATGAAAACAACCAAACTATAACCCAGGAGTAAAAATCACAAAGAGGAATATATAAAATTTTAAGATAAATGCATAGAATTATTGTAAGTTCTTGGACAAAACATTATATGAAGTTTTGAAGCTGAAGTTTATCTTCATGTAAGACTATGCTACTTCTCACTCTGCAAAGTGTATTATTGCCCACCTTGTCAAATTTCAATAACAGGGAATTATCCCTATTCTTTACATATGACAATACAGTAAAAAAAAAAAAATGTCATTTCTTTAAATATTTTGTGTCAATCTTTTAGCAAAGGAAATTTTGGTACCATTTAGTTTTTATAACAAAGTAAAATGATACTTTGTTAAACAAGGTGATTTTTTGGCTGCATGGTATTTTTAATGCTTTCAAATCATAAAGAACTGAGATGCTCCAACACCTGGATATTAAACATATTTTGTTGGAATAAAGGTTCTGAGGTGACAATGTTGAATGAAATTTATCAAAGTATTACCTTTTATGTTATTTAGCAATGCTACTATGAAGAATTTGTATCTTCTTTCAGATTGAAAGAATTTTATTCATAATATAGTTCAGAGCTTGCCCCTACATTCAATGCAACTAAAGAACACATTAGATTGTTTAATTCATTCATTTTTTATGGTTTATAAACCCTTATTTAAAGCCAGAAAATATTTTTAGATTGTAAGAAATTTTTTACTTTTTTGGAGATAGTAATGGTTCAAAGATACTAACTAATTAACCCATATCTGAAGGGAGAGGAGATGGATTCATACCTTTCCCAAGGTTATTTGTGCATAAGCAAATATAACAAACTGAACCAGAATTGGAACTTGGCTCTCTAATTAACAATTCTGAGTCATCTAGGCTTACAGTATCTGGTATTCCCGAGCAGACACCCATCTAGGTACTGACTAGGCTGAACATTGCTTAACTTTGGTAATCATATGTAAACCAGTGTTTTCAAGGTGATGTTGTCAAAGAATACATTAGGAATGTTGTACTCTATAAATTTCATAAAGGTGTTGCTGCAAGTGCAGCAGCAAAATCCACTCTGTATTCTTATGGGGTCTGATGCATTGAGTGAAAAAAGTTGAAAAAAAAAATGGTTTTCCCATTTCCAAGCTGGGAATTTAATCTAAAGGATGAGCCAAGAGTGTGTCATCCAAAAGAACTTGATTCAGAGGATTTGGAAGTTGCCATTATCACAAATCCTGCCACTCTGGCTAGGGATCTTGGTGAGAAATTTAATTTAATATTTGTCATAGGACAAATTCAGATTGAAAATGTTTCAGTGGTTGGAAAATGGGTCCCACACAAACTCTCTATAGAATTACCAAATGTGTCAAGTGTTACAAGTCATTACTGAAATGACAATTTCAAGTACCCTTTTTTAACAGGTTTGTTACTGGTGATTAGAAATGGATCCTTTACTATAAAATTAAGTGCCATTTTCAGTGGATCTGTCAAAGAAATGGACCTGCTTAACAGATAAGAGAACTTCATCCAAAGAGAATCCTGTTGAGTTTATGGTGAGATGTTCAAGAAATCATTCATTATGAACTGTTAGGCAGCAATTAAACAATTCTGATTTCTACTGCCAACAGCTTTGTCATTTCTAAGCAGTTTTGGACAGAAAACATCCATCCTTAGTCAACAGAAAAGGAGTAACCATCTATCACGATAATTTCCATACTCACACTGTATGATTCACTAAAGATCTCTTAGAGAAACTAAATTGGAAAAAATTACTTCATCTTTCATCTTCTCCTAACATTGTTCCTTCTGTTTATCACTTGTCTACGAGTTTGCAGAACTATTTACATGGCCTAAAATTGACATCAAGAGAAGATTTTATATCAAAATCTAAAGCATTTTACAAATGTGGTATCTATGAATTTGTTGACAGATGGAATGATATTCTAGAAAGCAATGGAGGTTATATTGATAAATAAATATTTCTATAAGAATTACTATTTTCATTTGTAATATAGAGGATAAAATCAAACAGAATATTCGTTCCAACCTGATACATTGGTAAGTAGAATTTGAAATTTTTCTACTTATTTTGTTAAGCAAATCAGGTTGAAAAACTAAGCCTGTATTTAGATTCTAACTGCTAAAGTGATATTTTATTTCTTTTTAACAATATACCCACAGAATGGGAAAAAAAATAGGAAATTTATTTATCTTCACAAGGTTGGTCACTTAATGCACAAAATTAACACATTCTCCCTATGATTCTCAGTTTGGTATCCCAAACTTTACCATTCTAACATCTGAAAATTGTCTGAAATCTCAACATTAGATGAATTGTATTAAAAATGAAAAAAAAAAAAAAAAAAAGATTAATCTTTGAGGTTTGGCCACCCCCTGCTTGGAGTATGATTGGCTGGGGTAAATATAAGAATAAAATCAAAAAGATTGATTTGAAGGCACCACTTAGTGTAGCCATGGTTGCTTGCAGCAATACAGAGAACAAAGTTGAGTGAATAAAAATATATATATATATTTAAAATAATAAAAAAAATTCCCAATGAAACTTAGTCTGGTCGAGAGCTTTGGAAGTTAAAAAGGTTGATTAGGTTTCAAACTGTGTGAAACCTGAGAAAACTCACCCTGTCAATTGGATGGACATTTTAGATTTATTTGTTTGTGTATAAAAATATCTATATCTCCAGGTATACATCTGTGTGTGTGTGTGTGTGTATATATATATATATATACACACACACACACACAATTTGTGCCTAAATGATTGTTTTGAGTGTATGTATAATATATATATATGTATATAAATTGGTATGATATATATATATATATATTCATTCTAAAGTGTGTATTTATAATGTAACATACTGAGAGAATAATTTTGCTTTATTATTACTTGTATAAGTATAGTGTCATCTAGTTTATAAGTATGCTTATTTATTTTAAGACATGAATATGTTTAGCTTATGTCAGGATCTTTGAGATAAAGAATTATCACATCATGCAATGGATAATGGCACAGCATGAGAAATCAGAGAGCCAACTTCGAATTCCAGTCAGGTTCGTTACATTTACTTATGTGCAAATACCCATGGTATAATCCATCTCTTCTCTCCAGAGTTATGGGTTGAATACCAAGATAGACAGAGTTCAATAGACTTGATTAGCAACCAGTCTATTGCAGAAAGAAATGGCAGCCTACTTCTATCTTTTTTTTTTTTCTTTTCTTTAAGTAAATTGCCCCAAGCAAGGCAGGAGTGCCAATAGCATGCAAGGGATTACAAAGAGTAAGAGAAGTCATCGGGAAAAGGATAAAGAGAAGGATAGGGGTCAAGTCATCAGAAGATGTTGATTGACATTACAATTGAATATTTGAAGGTTATAGCTGTCAGAGAAGCAAGTGATAAAAAGGGAATTCCACTGACGGGAGGTGTGAGATAAGAAGCTGTTGGAGTAGAAGAAATGGCTATATTTAGTTGTTTGACAGTGAAAAGGGTGGAACCACAGATTGGAGGTCCCTTTCCAGAGCAACGACCAGGTTAAATTTTAACATTTTAAGCCATACTTGTTCATCCCAGTTCACAGATTCATGAGAAAATAGACATTTGGGTGGAGTCATACAGTAAGCAGTGCAACTAGAAATAATAATTTTTTTAATTTTTTTTTTTTATATCACCACAAATAGATTAAAAATCCAGATCACAAATCCGCCCCCCACCAACATTAAATTGACCTCCCCCATGCACGAACACACACATGAAAATCAAAACAAATATATATTTTTAATTTGTAATCTGGAGTGTTTAAGCATTAATATATTTAGAAAGAATGCCAGATCAAAAATTTCAAAATTTTTATTTATTTTTTTTTTTACATATTAAGAAATCAGTATATTTGTTTAGGCTGATATGGAGGTGGGGGAGTCTTGGTTTATACATCAAACTGCCACCATTATCTTTTATAAAATTTTATTTTTTGTTTTGATAACCTAGCATGCTTAATATATCTTCTTTTATATGTTGTGTCCCTTCAGGACGTGAGTGATCATGGCTCTCCACAATTTCCTGTCCTTTGTAACTCTTAGTTATCACTTCATATTCCTGCTCTGCCATTTATTTACAAAAGCTTATTAGGTAGCTTACTTGTTGCTTTCCTCTGTTTCTCTTGCCTTTAGTATGTCCCGTGAATGTCAAATTTTCTGAGTATTTTTTCTTCATTATGAATCCTAGAAATTTCATCTGTCTTTTCTGATTCTAACTATGTGTCCTTAAAATTTTGTCTTTACTCACATTTTTCAGTCCATGATATTATCAGCATCCTCCTGTAGAACCACATTTCTATTACTGCAATCTTTATCTGTGAAGAGCTTGTCCAACATTCACTGCCATATGTGAATGGTTATATTAAATAGCAGTTCAGTACTTTGTTCATTGTTTCTAATGAAATTTTCCTGCTTCTTAATACTTGGCTTAGCTTTTGGAAGGCATCTTTCACTATTCCAATGCACCTTTGGATTTTTGTGCCATATTTTCCATACTCTGTTAAAAAAAAAAAAAATTGAGAAAGATGATGATTTCTGGTCCAAGTACCAAATCCACCAGGATTTGTTCAGAATGTTCATAACCTGGATAATTTTCTTATTCACAATAAAGGCAATAAAGCCATCCAGTGTGCAAAAATAAAGTGCAAATAGATCATTCCACCTCGAATCAACCAAAGGCCACAGGCAACCATCCTAAAAAATCTGGAAAAATTCATGTGTTCCATGATCAAATTTATCAATATATAACAAATATTAGATCTGTACATTTAATAGATTTAAAGTTGGAGCATCTTGAAATTCACTGTTTTTTTGCATCTTAATAAATAAGGCATTTGACAAAATTTTGACAATCATAGCTCCAAGATGTATAGATTTGAAACCTGGTAACAATAGTTAATATTTATCATAGATTACAAAAATATAAACAGTTTAAGTGTGTCTGATGTACTTTTTATTTTTATAAAGACCTGGAAATTCAAAAAGACACTGTCCATTTTAATAGTTTCTCATTTACATACTATCCCAGATACAACATTCAAATTAGTTTTCCTGTCATTTATCACCTAATAGATTATTTCATTGCAGTAACTATATTCATTCCTGTTAGAGGAATGTCAGTATTACTGTTTGAAAATGGCTCAATTTTTTTTTAACATCCTTAAAATTTGTGTATTTTTCATGATATAAGTTTAAAAGAAAATTTACTACATATTCTTACATGTCTGAAGGTCATATGACAAAAGTTTCATTTGTGGCCAGACTTTAGTCTGGGCTAAAATATATTTTTCTATAACAACTTATCATACCAAACTCACAGTTGTTAATTTTAGCACCTTGATACTTGAATATTTGTGATTTATTGATAAATTTGATCAAGAAACACCTGTGAATTTTCCCAGATTATTCTATGAGGGTCACCTGTTACTGTCAGTTGATTTGTGATAGAATTGCCCAAATTTACATGAAAAAATATCAAAGTAACATTAATTATAAGTGACAATTATTTCCCAGTAGATTTCACTTGGTGTAAAGATGAAAAGAAACCAAGTCTGAAGTTTATTATATATGATGAGAAATTGTCAAATGAAAGTCTGGTCCTTTCTAAACTTCAAAGACTTTTATTTTTTATGACACAATAATCTTAATGACAAATCTACTATTTTAGATGTTTGTCAAAATCTAAAAAAAAAAAGAAAAAGTTCAAAGTTTCAAGTTAAATACAAAAACAGCTGTTTGTTGATGAATATTTTGTGATAAGTAGTTCACAGTAGCAGTTTAGTCTAAACAAGAAAGTAGTAATGCATATATAAATAATTATGTACAATTAATAACAACACTTTTTATTACCTGAGCAAACTAAATAGAAAAAATGCAAAAGATGTGAATGAAAATGTGTGTTTGTGTGTATAGAGATGTCCTTTTCTATAGATACCTGTGTGCAAAGT